AGTTCACCAAAAAACCGCTTTTCCTTGTTCAAAACCGAAGTTTCGTAGTCTAACATGGTGGTGGTTTCCTAGCAAAATCCGTTTTAATATCTTTAATCAAGGTTGAATTTTGTAAAAATAAAATAAAATAGAGAAGCCGTTTCGTTTCGCCATAGGAGGTGGTGGTGTTGATTTTTGCAAGGTAATGCCCTGAATTACGAAATATTTTTTCTTTTCTTCTCCCATCAAGGGTTGAGATTTTCTTTCTTTAGAATAGATGGTTAGGATTGAGGACCATATAGAAGATCTGGACCGTTCATTTGAATTTGTTCACTTGTTTTGTGAGTGCCACAAATAAATTAGAGTGCTTGTAGCATGCTCACGCAGGAGCGTACTGTACAACATCCCGTCCCGCATAATAGCTATATGGGATATTTTTTTAATCATAAATTTTGGGATACATGTAAGTATTACCTGATGATTATTTTCAAGAACAATTATGGATTTTAAGTTCTTGAATATGTATGACTTTCCTTTTAATTATTTTTTTTGTTTCTATTTAATCTTGGGATATTATTTTTTCTAAGCACATTGACAGTACTTAGAAAGTTTTCTTTTCCTTTTTTCTTTGTGGTCGGTTTCCGAGATTTTTTTGGATCCCAAAAACCTACCATGAGTTTTCCGGCAGTGCAAACGGACAGAATCCTCCCGAGGGAGCATGGAAACTTTTCGCAATAAATTAACCTCAGCGGCACAAAAGAGTCACGCTTTTGACTTGTCTGCGCCGACTAGATTCCATATGAACGGTGCAGATTAATTTATGAAGTAATAATAATACTATTTCAAAGTTATTAAACTTTAGTAATATTATTCCATGTTATCCATTCAAGCTGAATAATACTAATTTTTCATTATCTCAATGGAAAATGAGATACAAACCATAGATTGCGCCACCGGTCTCTCCAGATGCACACGCATAAAGTTTCTTTCATCTTCTTTTTTTCTATTTGAATGTTCCCATATATTTTAAGCGGATTTTAGAAAAGGGAATTGGGTGCACCCTAAGGCACTCCCGATCCGAATCGGCTCGTTCAATATCAATTTTAGAAGAATCGGCATAAATGATTGAAGAAAAGTCACCTAGGATTCGGGCGATGGATCCCCCGAATTCCCAAGTGACACAACACGATGATCTGCCTAGACAGCTGAGGCAATTTCTTAACTCGGGATCATCTAGAATTGGGGATTGTTCGTTTCGCTTGCAATTTTTTAGCTCGAGATCATCCAGATCTGGGGACTGTTTGTTTCTAGTGATTTCGCATAGGCTCGCCAATTTTCTCTCACTGTATTTAAGCTCTTTATAATATTACTATTTACTGCCAGAGTTTTAGAGGATATTGAGAGGTAAAAAAAAAAGAAAAAGGAAATTGAGGATAATTTTATCAAAACACACTTAAGATATTAAATGTTCAATATTTTATTCATTTGTAGATTTAATTTCAAAATTCCCATCAAAATACACATGATTGACTTATAATAGTAGTAAAAAGACAAACGGTTAAATGGTGGAAAAGTGGGGTGTATTTCGATAAATTTCTTATTAAATATGTCCCAAATTTCAATTACCAAATGCTGAAAGGGACCACCGTCTACCTACTTGCAAGGTGCTTGGTCGTGATGGACCACCCGTGATGCAATATTGTTTAGGTACATACTATTCCTAAAATTAAAATCCCTAAAACACCCTTACAATGCTCTTCTAATTTTGTTGACATACGCTTTCTAAGAAAAAAGTCCTCCAACTTTTATAAGAGCCTTATTTTTTTTGGTTAAGAATTGAGGCTGGTTGAAGTTTTAGGTTTTCATTCTCACTAGACACTTTCTAAAACTATTAATGCAATAAAAAAAGAATTTACACTTGTTATTTAGCAAATTTAAAAAAGAATTTACACTTGTTATTTAGCAAATTTCTCACTTGACACTTTCTAAAACTACTAATGCATTAAAAAAAGAATTTACACTTGTTGTTTAGCTAATTGTTGCGGTATTCGACAAAAATTCTCCACAATTGTGTTGGAAAAATATTGAAAATGCCCCTTATGTGCCAATAACATCAATTCAGTTTAGCTAATTGTTGCGGTATTCGACAAAAATTCTCCACAATTGTGTTGGAAAAATATTGAAAATGCCCCTTATGTGCCAATAACATCAATTCACTCCACACTAGGTAGTATAGAAATTGCTTATTAGACTTAGAATTAATGTACGAAAAATTGGGTGGTTCAAAGTCTAACTGCTCAGTTAGACCTTATTAGATCGGAGTTCCGATGTCAGCTGGTTTTGGTGAACCGGCCAGGTATTTTAAAAAAAATTCAATTTTTTTTATCGAAGTTATAATTACACGAGTTAGAACAGGATTGTGAGCTAGGGGATTTCAGTTTGAAGAATCCTGGAGTCTTGAATCCCCCACTTTTTTATTTCTTTATTTGTTTTTGTTTCTTTGTTATGTAAGGCCCGATCCGACTCAAGAACTGCCCAAGTAAAACCAAGTGAATCAGAATCAAAATCCCTGGCCTTTTCGACCCGATACAAATTTTTTAATCACTGTTATGAATTAAATTGACATGTAGAATGTATGAAAGGCTTTGATTTTCAAACCAAAATGCCAAATTCCCAACCATCCAAATGAATACATTAGAAAGGTGTCACATGGTTTATAGAGTCAATGGGATACTCGTGAGTTATGAGGGCACAATTGCAGAATTCAATGCTGGTTTTCGCAATATTTCAAAAAAAATCTTAAGGGTAGTTTGGTCATACAAAAAAAGAGAGATGGGCCCTTTATGGTTGTAAATGTGTATAGATGAAGCTTGGTCAATAAAGGCTTGCGCGTTTGGTGTGAAAACTAAGGCTTCTCCTTGATGGGAGAGTGTTTGTTCTTGCAGGGTCTTGTAGATCTCAAAGAGCTTGAAGATTTGGAGGAAAGAAGCTCATTCATGGGATGGTTATACTTAATTTCCCATCAATTTATGGGAAATCATAAGGTAAGTACAAATTTTTTATATGCTTTCTTTAAGAAGTTTACCATTGAAATAATTCAAGCGTTTAAGACAAGAAAGGGAATACATATGATTGTTGTTTTTTTGTGTTCATATCATTCAGGTAATTTCGAGTTCTTTTAGTCTGTAAATGAAAACTTGGGGAGTTCGACTCGGTGTCCCCCGAGTTACACGGCAGGCTGCCAAGTCCATAACCGAACAACAGGAACCGACCGAATTTGGTCGTTTCTTAGTATTTAATATTGTTTTCGTTAGAATACAGTCTGACAGACGGCGGGGTCTGTTACACATGACTGAGGGTCCTTACTCGGACTGGCCGGAGTACTCGGCAGGCTGCCAAGCCCAGAACCAAACACATGGCAATCGGTCGAATCTAGTAGTCTCTCAATATTCAGTATTATTTTTATAAAAATACAGTGAAGTCTCAAACAGACTCGGCGGGGTCTCAGGGTCACTGACTTGGACCCAGGCGAGTCCTGACCCGAGTCCTTGTTTCCTTTTAAGCTACTGTTTCCATTGTCATGTGTGTGTCAGTATTCTCTTTGGAGTTTAGGGAAGCGAAAAGTCAGAGAAAGAGTTTTATGAGAGTCAAAAGGAAAAATTTTACCTTTTTTTTACATATTTCCTCTTTGTATGAGTGTGGTTTTGGCTGGGTATGAGCACATGTATTCTCATACTCACCAGCTCTTGTTTATGTTTTATTTGTTGGACTTCAGGCCAAAATGTCATTATTTTGAAAGTGATTTACATAAATGGATGATTACTCGAATCGGCAACTGGTGTCCATGAATCTACAAATTTGAAACATTATTCGCACACATAAAACAAGGAGAGTATTCTTTAATCCAACATGTTATCGAAAAACAATTGTCCATCAGGTCATCACAATCCAATCCATTGATCAACAGTACATGGAGAGAGTGGGACCACCATTGGGGTCATTCATGTTTGGATTGGTCCTACTCTCTCCCTTCGTAATCCAATGGAGATGTTGACTTGAGCCTAATGAATTCTGAATATCAGTCCTTTAGGTTTTGGCTTAGTGGTAGACATATCAGTTTGGGTGAGAGAGGTCAAGAATCCAAACCTGAAGTTCATCCGACAGCCCAAGTTTCACACAAAATACAAAGTGTTTCACACACATTTCCTTTATGCAATCTCCAAATTATATTTATTTATTTATCTCATTTATTTGTTGCAGGATCAAACAATGCTTAAATTCTAGACAACATATCCACTACCCTAAACACCCCCATCACATGCAGCAGTGGTAGCAGTAACAAGAAAATGGGATGTGTATCCTCTAAGATGATGTTGAAGTCAAGTAGTTATAGAGATGAGCATCGAAGAATGGTTAATGGCCTCCCGGCACTCGAAGATCTATTCGTGGCCACTGGCGGCGAGCAATTCCTTGCATTAGTTTGCACAGCCAACACAGTTACTCGAAAGCTTCAAGCCGGACAAGCCCTACCGAAACCTAATGCTGCTTTGTTGGAATCACATGCTGTGAACAATTTATACGAAGGACAAGGGAGCCCAGAAGTCATAAACACATGGGAGCTCATGGCAGGGCTGGAAGATGACACACATCAGGGAATCGAGCCCAATAATTGTTCAGGGGGTCATGATGTGCCCATTCAGTCGGAGAACTCACAAAGAAATGGGGTAATCTCACCCCAACATGGCAGTTATCTAACTATCGAAACTGTGAACTCAACAGGATCTCATGAGCTCACAACTGACATCTCTGAGAAGTCTGGAAAACAGCAAGAGGGATCAGCAATAAACCCTCTTGTACATCCTGCAAATGTTTCTCTAGGGGAGAAGTCTAAAGTCGAATTAATGGATAACAAAGTTGGGAAATTGACAAGATTCGGAAAGGACTTGTCGAGCCAAGAATCAGAGAACATGACATTAGGGGATAGGGCCAAGGAATTTGCAGAAAAGGGAAGAAATTCACTCAGCCTAAGGAGGGCAGCCATCACTCGAGAACTAACATCGTTGAGTATCCCAACGACTGTTGATCTGCAAGCACTCGCTGATTTCCCTGCAGCGACGGTCACTAGCTTAACAGATTGGATCCAAAGTGGGGGCCAGCTTTTCTCACCAGGAGCAACTGGAACTCCTAAGTTTGGCCCACTCATGTCACCAAAATGCAGTGGGAAAGGGATTCTAACTTTCGAAGAAGTGGGAAATGAGGATGAAGAATTTGCAGGATTGGACCCTGAGTTTTTAGAAGCACTAGAAGAGGCACTTGAAGAGTTGTCTAAGGAAGAGGAGTGTGTGATGAGGGAGATATGAGATAGCACTAGAGATGAGGTGAAATGTGGAGGGAGTTTGGAAGTGTGTGAGAGTATAGATTGTACATGATTTTTTGTTATTTTATCTTTTATTTTCATTTTTCCCTTTTTTTGGTTCCTTTTTTTGTGGCATTTTTGTGTTTATGTGTGGGTGAGGAGCTGGAGAGGGGAGCTATTCTCTAGGGTGGTGGTACTAAACATATGCATTAGACTTTTAAGCTTAGGCACGAAGCCATATTGAGATTGCGAGGTAGTTTCAAATGTTTTTTGTAGTTTCAAAATGTGTTACAAGGTTTCAAATTTCATACTCCTGTCCACGATTCTCTTTTTTTTTTTAATCTTTTATTAATGAAAAACGGGTAGAGGGCCTTCTTCCTCACTAATTTTCCTTAAAAAAAAAATATTGTAGGTGGAAACTTCATTAGTAAGGAGTCACATGTGCTAAAAGAAAATTTGTTTTTTTTTTTAGCTAAATAAACTTCACGTGTCAAGAGAAGCTTATTTAGCCATTTGGACAATTCAGGGCCGGTTGCGAGCCTGTCAGGTGAATGAGGCGGAGTTCATGGCACTTAAATTATGTGTTCTAAAGCTCGAGCAACAACATCAAAGAGTGATCATTGGAGGTGACTCTGACGATATCATTAAATGATGCTAAGACTCATCTACCATCCTTTGGGCATGGAACGTAATTGTGATTTCTTTTGTATCAAAGATAAATGGTCTCATTTTATAGAATACCGTACATAAATACAAATATACACCTCATGTTGATAAGTGTTTGGAAACACAAATTTGAAAATTAGCCGTCTAAGGGGGCGTTCCAATTTTAGGTGATAGAAATACTTTTATAGTGAGGGATGCAGTTTATATAGAGCCGAGGCTCTAAACAATCAAATTGGAGCCTACCACAAAAGTTTGCTAGAAGAGGTTGTTTTGATGCCCAAATATCCTCAAATTGATCATCTCAACATCAAGATGTATGGCCTTGAGAAAAAATTGGATTTCAAGTTTTAGAAATAGTGTACTTTGTAACACACTTTTGAACTGTCAATTTTCAAGATTTTCAAGTTTTCATAGATCTTTCGATCTACTCTATTTTTGAAGCTTTAAACTTCCAGTATTGAAACCACATTTCTTGACACTATTTGATGGTTGGCTATAATTTGATTGTTTAGAGCCTAAGCTCTATACAAACCACACCGTTATTTAAACATTGTAGCTAAAAATATATAGTTATTATAATTAAAAATATATAGATAAATATTATTATAATATTATATATTAAATATTAGTACTATTCCGGTCGGGTCCACATGGATCCCGACCCAAATACCGTTTAGGTCCAAGATTGGGATTTAGACCCCGACCTGCCGGGTCCAATTTTTGGCCCCATACCCAGATTCGGGTCGGGTTGCGGGTCTATTGCCACCACTACTGTCTCTCTCTCGCTCTAACTAACTAGATCACTAAAAAAACCTTTAGTTCTTCCTACAAGGTCATTCTACCTTTTTCTCCTTCAACAAAAGTACGCTTAGTTACAACTTAGAAACCAAACCACAAAGCTCAATGTTACACCAAAAACACGTGTGAGTGGATTCTCTATTCACAAGTAAAAACTAAAAAGCTACAAAGTCAACTATTTTCAGAAAAACAAAATAAAATAAATATTAGTGCTTTAAAATTTAGGTCGGTTGGGTGAACAAGCAATCCGAGAAATTAATAAGGATGATGATTCGTTGATCTGGATCGGCGATCCAATTGATTCTCTAAAACGAAAATTAAGTCAATAAAAATAATATTTTTTTTTAAAATAATAATAATAAAATGAAATATGTGGGAACCTGACCACCTGGCCGATATAGATTTTTCAATTCCTATATAGAATTGGCCTATTGCATGGGAATCAGACCGACTCCCAATTCCAACAGACTTCAGTCGGTCACCACTTACTCTTGGTGATTCTGATCCAATTCTAACATGGATCGTCAATTTTTAAAACCATGGAAAAAACTACAAAATTGTGATAGAGGTAAAGAGAAATACAACCAGTAGTGTACCCTTCATTAAGGCATATGGCAATAGAGAGAGAGAGAGAGAGGTCATTAGAAATTACTATTATAGTGTAGAAATATAGATACCTACATAAAAGGAAAAAGTTTAAAATTTTCAAAAATTTCCAATAGGAACCACATGTCTATTGAGTTCATCTTATCTTCAATTATTTGTATGTATCTTATGCATATCTTCTCTTTTTTGCTACTTACAATATGCATATCTTCTCTCACATACATAGCTTAAGTAGTGGTACACAAAGTTAATCACATATGTCCTCCTTTTCTCATATCACAATAAGCTGCTCGTTTTTATTGCGCTTAGTTGTAGACTGGTAGAGTCTTTAACTTTTTACTTCACACATGATATCTTCATCTCTGCTAAGGGAATGGACCCTAAGAACGGACCATGTAGGTCCGGTCTAAGTGCAATAGTTCCAAACTTGATCGGGTCCAGGTATAGATCTTTCTGGGTGCCAATCAGCCGAATCTGGACCCCTACCCATGTATGTAAGTGGGTGGAGGTCCAAGTGTAGGTCAGGTCCGCATCCTAAAGGTTTTGTTGACCCGACCCAATTGTACCCATTTTTCTCTTTGTCTCCAAACCTTTCACGGACCTTTGATTCCATGCATAACATGCAGAGCTCATATGTTCCCCCAAGTTTTGAATGTTGTTCGATATTTTTTTTTCTTTTTCTTGTTCATGCTTCCCGGTTCCTAATATTGGGAACTAGACCAGTCCCACCAATATCTGACCTAGATTGAGTGATTTCGATCCAGATCGGTATTTTCCAAAACCTTGCTCTAACCCATTTGAGGCTTTTCAAGCAACACAATTGTTATGCCAATGTAAATGAAATGTATAGTACACTCTGTTTGATATAGAACATTATGATTTTTCAACAATCATTTAACTCACTATTGATTTGAATCAATGTTTTAAAATTTGGACTGACTTGCAGAACTGGTACTCCACCAAACTGAGCATGCTCAAGTGGTTTGGAGTGGACTTGACAATTCTTTGAAAACGTTTTCTAGAGAAACAAGACAGAAAAATCACAAAAACAAGTGGAAATTTTTTATTTTTTAGATCCAAACCGTTGACCAACCAGTTCTTGTGTGCCATGCTCAATATCCATTTAAGTACTAAAGGACACTATTAAGGGACTGAGGTGATAAGGTGTATACTATGAACTCATAGGAACATACTGTACAATTAGTCCAATTGAAATTTTGGACTTTATCTAGGAATAACTCGATGGTTATTTTTGAAAAAAATGAATTTTGAGCTATTCAACACTTAGATATTATCCTTCAAAAAATTGAATGATTTTTGTTCAATCCTAGGATGTTATTTTCCCAAGCAGACATATAGGACTTGGAAAAAAATTTTCTTGAGATTGGTTGTTAGGTTGAATACCTTACACCTCAAAACATGGGTCCTAAAAATACTTCGAAATTAAATTTTACTTGAGGGAGTAAACTGACAGTATTCTTTGGCAAGAAAAATCTGTTGATAACTCATAATTCTGTCAAGAGGCGATATTTCTAACCGTCCAACATCAAACTTATAGACTTCCCTTTATCTAACCGTCCATTTTGAATGGAGGGCTAAAATTGTCCCAATCACAATGTCACGTCTCTACACTGATTTATTTTTAATTTTTTTTATAAATTATTTTGACGTAAAATTTTATACATCCAATCCTAAATTAAACTTGCACTAGCAAAAAAAATAAAAACAATATTTTCACTAAAATAAAATGACCAAAATACCTTTGAAAGTTTCAAGGGGTATTTTGGTCGTTATATTTCATCAAAAAAATATTTTTAATATTTTCTATAGGTGCACCCCAATGAGAAGATGACACATACCAAATTTCATATTCATAAAATTTGTATAAAAGAAACTAAAAATAAAATATTTTGAGATGTCGGATCTAAGATCAAATGGTGAGTGGCTCTCTTGATCAAAATTGGACGGCTGGATGGTAGGGGAAGCATAGATCTTTTATGTTGTAGGGGAAGTATAAAAACCTTTCCCATTGCTAAATGTATTTTGTTGTTGAGCCATAAACTCATAGGGACCCAATTTCTATGCGGTCAAGTCCGCATATGTAGAAATGTGGGCCTCTTTATAAATC